TAATTACTGAAAGGTTCCATCAGGATACCAGTATATGTCCCGTTATCATAATGTATCTCTCACTAGAGTCCTGTCCTTCCTCCTATTTAATTTCAAGGTTCAGCTGAACGTTGAACAGAACTAGTAATTACCTCATTAAAAGGACCCAAAAACAAAAATTCATGGCCAGTTTAATTTAGATTTCACTTACATTGGTAAAGCCATACTTCTGCGTGTTTTCTATCATTTCGTATTATTGATTTTATTCTCTTTAATATTGAGAAATGATGAAAGCACAAATTCAATGCAGAATTGAATACTAGATGACAGGTTAGTTGGAAATGCATACAATGCAAACATTTAGTGAGGACAGGAGTGAAAAGCCCCAGATTCTTTACCCTTTGTCTATATTTCATATTTACTCTCTGAATAGTGAAAATTTCCCATTCCCTTAATTACATGAATGTATCGTGTAAATATTGCAACATTCTCTTGCAAATGATCAGTAGACTCATTTAGAGTTTTTTTTTTTTCAAAGCGTATGTTCCACTAATAGAATTTTCAAGTTGATCTCATGAAATTTGTGTTGTTTTCATTTTTAGTCAGGGATTCCTCGAATTCCAGCTTAGACAAACTTTTTGCCGACGTTTCTTAGCTTAGCATTGGTTTTCAGAGGCCAGGCTGACATTTTCTCAGAGCCAGATGCCACATGTCCATTCCCACCGGTTTCCTTCTTAGGCTCTTAGTTCTGCCATCCACTTGCTTTTCCTGCTGAGTCCAACTCAGATACAACGTACGTGAAGTATTTTCAGCTACGTCCAGAGATTTTTATCTCTTCTTTGAACTTTAAGTTAGTTCCTTGCAATTATCCCTGCCTTACTCTCATTTAGTTCAATTGTAATTGTTTTACCCTCCCAGCTAGATTCTCTCAGCTGACAAGGAGTAGTCACTCCACTCGCACCACATGCACAGCGAGACATGGGACGCAGAGACGGAGAGATTGCTGAACAGATCCCATTGTTACTGGATGATTTCCTCATGGCGGCCACTCAGTCTCTGGGACTTCCTGTTAGCGGCTTTTCTCCTCTGAAAGATTTATCAGTTGAATGTGATAAAGAGAAAAAAATGGCATGTCTTACCATCACCAGTAATTTTTCAAGAGGATCATTGTTTTTATCCAAACACATGTTTTGTCAGATCTGAATTATCTCCTTTAAATTTTAGGCTCTTATCTTAAATTTCATCTGATCTGTAAATTTTAGGCTCTTATCTTAAATTTCATCTGATCTCTAGATTTCTAGAATAAAAGGCAGTGCACTTATGGTCCTCATTCTACAAATTTTCTCCTAGAGTTCCAAATTCAGTGTCTGAGCATCTTGCTAGAATAGTTAGGACACCCCAGCAGGGAAGTTTCTCAGTGTTTAGGAAAACCTGCATGATTGGGTTTTCTTACATTGTTTTTTAAATTCCACAAAATATTCAAGGATGAATTGAGGAAAATTTGGGTCTTCAGAATGACGAGCGGATCCTCAAAATGTGTAAACATCTCACAAGGTATATCTACTGCCTTTGAAAGGCTTGGAAACAGATTATCACAGATACTGGTTTTTTTTTTTATTTATTTTGCTCAAAAAATGGCATTATCATAGACCCCACAGAAAACAAGAATTTCTTACTGTTGTGAATGCAGAGTCTCATATGTCAAGTAGCCTGCTGTTTCCTAGCAGTCACCAGTTGAGGCGGAATTGCCCTGTGATCAGTAAGTAGCTTGTGCTTCACGTCTCACTTTCCCCCAACATAAATCTGAATTCATCAGTCCATTCTTTAAAAAGAACAAAACTGCCAGCTTCAACAGTGGAAGGGTGAGAGAACTGGAGACCTGAGAGAACCCCCGATGCCCTTAAACTTTACTGAGCAAGGCAGGGCAAGATGATCTGTTTTATTTCCTCAGGAAACCCTTTCCCTATATTTCTGACCCTGCCTATCTGTCCCATTCCTCCCCCTGCACCCTTAGGAGGCTGTTTTGCCTAAAGGGGGGGGGACTGTATTCCTTTTCCACCCACTCCCACCTCCAGTGGCCTCTTCCATATCTGGGAATACGTGCCTGACATGCATCTGGTCTGTTAGCCTCCAAATACTTAGTGAAAACTTGCTCTGAAACAGGGATGGTGCCCGTTGCGGCTGCAGACAGAGTGCCCCCTCCGTGAAACTTACCTTCCGAGGGGGATCAAGTACTATTTCCTGGACTGTGATTACTCCAGGTAGTGGAGTAATCTCTTCCTAGGAAGAGGTACCAGAATGTCATGCAAAGAAAGCCTTTCTAGTCCTCAGACTCTGGTAGATCCTCTCTGGGGAGGCTGTCTTCTCATGTACACCATTCCGGTTTGAGAATCCTGGCTGCTGCCACTGGAGGCTCCTGATGGGAGCACAGTGCTCCTGCCAACAGCGAGGAAGCGGAGCAAAGGCTGCGATTGCCTCTTTCTGTGGGCTCTCGGCACATTGCGCTCACAGTGCCACAACACAAAAGACAAAAAATGAATTAGGATACTGGAAGACCACATAAATATATAATATCCATTTTATGAGTTTTAAGATTTAATATTAATGAAACTCAGGATCCTTAGGCCCAAAGCCTGCTGGGACCTCCACAGTACCCAGCTGCTAAATTAGATGAACTTGCAGTTGATCAGGTCGGTTCTGTCCCTGGACTGGTGGATAGGAAAGGGAGTGGAAACTGAAGAGAAATCTGTAGCCTTACAGAGTGAACCAGCATAGGGTAGGGGGAAAAAAAAAGGTATATGCCCCAGTTTGCATGTACTTGGGGTATATTTGGCAATGAAAAAGATTCTAGGAAAATGGGGACGGCCTTGGGGGAGGGAGGTCATATGCAGTCATTGTCTGGAAAACCTGAGTTGTTTCCTGCCCCGTTGAGGCTGAGGAATTGGGCTGAGACCAAGCCTGCAGAAAGAGCCAGGAGGTAAGGTACCCAGCCATCAGGAGCTAGGGAAGGCAGCAAGAAGGGAACTAAATGAAGACTGACAGATCCTCACGTATTTATTGAGTTGTAAAGGCTACCAGAAAAGTCATCTCTCTCTCTTTTAAAGATTTATTTATTTGTTTTAGGGGTGGGGAGGGGAAGAGAGAGAGAGAAAATCTCAAGCAGACTCTATGCTGAGCGAGCATCCCAGTGTGGGGCTCCATCTCACAACCCTGAGATCACAGCCTGAGCTGACCTCGAGAGTCAGAGGCCCGAGCGACTGAGCCACCCAGGCGCCTCAAGTTCTGTCTCTCTTAATAGAATGTCACAATTACTCAGATCTAAGGAGGTGAACCAAGAATATAGTAATTGGAAAAGCAGATACAGTCTCCTTGTGATAAGCTCTGTGAAGAAGTTACTACATTTGGAACTCTACTACCTAAGGAAGAACTAACACACACAGATAGGCTAGTAGTAAGTTGCATTTGTAAACTACTTTATAGTTTTTAGGGCATATTTTACCTGTCATCCAGTTTTCTCCTGTCACAGTCCATGGTGTACAGAAGACAGGTCCTCTACGGCCTTAAAAAGTTGGAATGTGGGACGCCTGGGTGGCTCAGTTGGTTAAGCAGCTGCCTTCGGCTCAGGTCATGATCCCAG